TGTAAACACATTTTAAGACAGTTGCGGCAAACATACTGCCACACATGTCGAGTGTACTTCTTCTCTGTATATTTTAGTCACACCTGTCATTGTGTTGTCATATTTTCTTCGTTCTGACCTATCAGGGGATTAGAGCAAGCAGATTAGCTTTAATCTATAATCTGCACCAAATTTATGTCAGAGCAGCACACTGTCCATTTTACTAACTAAAACCACACCTCCAGTGCATGCTAGCTGCATTAGCATTAGCTTGGAGTCCAGTGTTCACGATCCTTTTAGCTCTGCTTCAGTCTCCATCAGAGAAAAATAAGTGGGTCTTCAGCTGCTAAATGCTAACTTTGATGTTCGGCAAGTAGCTTGTTTCTGCTGGAAACACCCTCCTGCTGTGGCTGGAAATCAGGTTCAGAGTGAAGCCAACATGCTAAACGTTACATCTGCATAAGTGCATCACACCACCTTACAGCACGAGACCAGAAGGGAGGGATTACTGCACAATATCAATCAAACGCAACACTGATTTGGGATAATGTGTGTTTTCAAGCTTGTCTGTTATATATTTATTTTTGGACGTGGACAACCGAAAGCCGGATTAAGCGCTCAAAATAGTTTCTCGGTGACTCAAGTTGTATTCTTATTAGGATTAACCACAGAAAAGGCAACCTCCCTTCTCTATACATGTGAACTTGTGATGGTGAGAATGGCTAAAAGCAGGGCTGCAGCTTTCTTATGATTAGTTTAAGTGGTGCTGATTGCAAAATGGAGGAGCAGAAAGCCTCCTAACAACAGAACGGTCCGACACAAGCTAACGGCAAATCAATACCAGTTAAGATGAAGGACAGCAAAGTGTAGAATCAAGCAGCACAAAGACAGCTAAGCTAGCTAACTGGTATTAGCTGTTAGTGTGTCGCCTGTCAGAGGAACCAAAGCTCATTTAGCTTCCAGCGAAAAATACAAATACAAGGCGGATTTGTCTGACAAACTGCTTAACTAGTTTGCCTCGAACGTCACTCACGGCGGTCTAATGCTATCAGCTCACTGTCTAACCAGCTAACCGCTAATTTCCAGGTGTTGTCTCATTTTTTGCGTCCCAACGGAGAGCCTGAGAGAGCTGCTTTCTTGTCTGTACAGGAAGCATTAAAATCTTACATTTTTCCAAAAAAGAGACAAATTATTTCTTCATTTAAAAGATCTGACTCATTATCTCTTTTGTATATATCAATGTTGTACTTTATTCAAACCGAAGGAATGAGCAACGTGATTACTGGAAGCTGCAGTCTGAGCCCAAAGCATCACAAAGCGTTTCAAGACACTTAGAGGTCATTTAATCCGGCGTGGCTGCTCAGCATCTGACCCGTTTGTTAGCGTATGAATCACAATATCCACTCACTGATCTGAAAAATACCTGCAGAGCTCATCAAAATGTGTTGCTGCTGCTGGTGGAGGAGAAGTAGAGCATGGAAAGAATGAACTGAATGTTGTTTTCTTGCTCCGTAAACTGATATTCGGCTTTGTTTGAGGAGGGGGGGCTCGGGTTGCAAAAAGCCAGAATCTGAGACTATAAATATCATTTTGTTGTGTCTGAGTAAACAAAAGGCATCTGTCGTGTCCTCGCTGACGGCCGCCGAGTGAAAGAGCGAGCTGATCGAGACCTTTAGATACGAGGGGGTTGCTAAGGAACATGAATTCACACGTTAGCCTGTTTCCCTGTACAGCAGCTGCGCCTCTTTAGACGCCGCTAATGCATTCAGCTCAATCTGCCTTCGGACCACGTGGCCCGCATTCAACAACTGCTCCTCTGTGGCGCTGCCTAAGACAAAAGGCCCCGGCGATGCTCTTAGGTTTTGGGGGGCCGGATTGAATGCGAGACACGCTTACAGGGTGTAAAACTGGAAGGGGTCATTACCAGATAAACACAAAGACGGGGCCGAGCACAAAGCGGGCTGTTTTCTGGGCCTTATCAGGACTCCACAGGACATCTGCTGCTGCTTTCATCTGCTCGGGGTCCGTTAAAATCAAACAGTCCTCTGTGATTATGACAGTGGGTACAGAGAGAGTCCAAAGCGCCATAAACTGAATATTAACCATAATTTTACTTTGACATTTTCAATTACAGCCGTGCTCGCGTAAGGAGCCTCCTGCCGTCGGGTATGGAATGAAATTTCAGCACTCTCTTAAACACTGCAATACATCTTACATTTAATCTCGCTGATTGATGAGCTACGTTTTCTTATTCCCATAGATAGGTAGCCAAACATTTGGTGTTGAAATATTTCCTGCACAGGAGTTTGACTGGAGAGAGAGAGAGGGAGAGGAAAAAAAAAGAAAAAGAAAATCGACTAACTGAGACATTCAGGGCAAAGCGTGAGTTTTTGCTGATGTTTATGCTGATGTTTCTTTCTCCGGGCCTTGAAGAGATGGGATTTCTTTTCTAGCCAGAAAATCATACGAGGAGAAATCAATCAAAGAGCAGACAGACACACCAATTTCTCCGCTGACAGTAGCCCGAAAAGTCCATAATGCAACACAGCTGCGAGACACGAAGTGCTCCGAGTCGGGAATAGACCTCTCAACTCGCAATCACGGCTGAATTATTGCTTTCGGAGAACTACAAGTAAAAATCTCGCCGGATACAAATGGTCAGGTGGGAAAATGTGGATCACAAATTGACAAGTCGAGGGCAAGTGGGTACATCGAAAAGATTAATGCCCGCTTCGCCGCAAAATACTGGAATGTTCAAACACAAATACAGAAACGTCTGGAAAACATTTGACATACAAACACTGTTTTCTGTGCTGCTGCAGACAACCAAAGAAACTCTTAGTGGGCTGAAATCATGTCTGCTCGTCAACCAGTCGACTGGTCAGATGGAAAAACTGTGGGTTACCTGTCGATTAGATAAAAGTTCAACAGTGACTCTTCCTGCTAGTTCTAGATAGAGATTAGATAGAACTTTATTGGTCCCTTTGGTCGGGTACTTCAGTTCTATTGTCATGAATGAACTCTATGAAGTTGTATTTGCAGTTCATGACATCATTGGGATCTGGTTATGTTCTACTGAGACAGACTGGTGATCCAGCACAGGAACAACTGAGGAATAAAACACAGACTAGTTAGCGGCTGTTTCTAGATGATCTGACATGTTGGTAGTTGACAAACTGCAGAAGTTAGGCTCCACTTTTTGAACAAAACGCAACCCCACAACAGCTTCTTTCACATGGAGTTAATTAGTTTGAAGACGACTCAGTAAACATCCAGTAAACATTACATAAGGTGCTCTAAGCTAACTCAAAAGTAATAGCTTAGCATTAGCCCCAGGTTGCTAGCCAAACCAGCTAGACACCTTTTTTCTAACCTGATGATGCGGATTTCATTAACACGACCGCCGCCACAGTCAGCAGTTAGTCAGCAGGGAGGTGGGTTTGTTTTATGGACCCTCAGAGGCGGTCAGCAAATCCACCTGTAAGTCCACCGAGAGGCTCCACCTGGTGGCTCATCCAGGTACTACAGCTAATCTACAATACATGTTCTTGCATGCATGTCCCTCAATATTATATTTTTATTGATTACATTTATTACCGGCAATTACTCAGTTAGCTTTGCAACATATTATATCATTTCAATCTAGTTGTTTAATTAGACAGTTCCCATTGTTTCTGTTGGAGAACTGGATAAGGCTGCCGATATAACATGTTTCTAAAACCAAACATGTTGGATATGTCCGACATGTTGACACTCAACGCCTCGTGCATTGAGTGTCAAGTTGGTGGAAAATCGTGACGCAGATAAGTTAGCTGCTGCTAATAAATGTTCTGCCATGCTGGTGGTTGAGCTGTAATATAAAAACTGCTGTTTGCCAAGTTTACAACCGACTTTTTGTCCATCTGTTGGAACAAAATGCAGCCACACTGACAACTGCTGGTTTGCAGCTGACTCCCAGTAAACATTCAGTAAACATTACATAAGTTAGACTGAGCTGTCTACACGGCAATAAAAATGCCAGGATGTTTACAGGTCGCCTGTTCCTCCTGCCTTGAACTCTGTTGATGTAGAGTTTTTATCTTTATAAAAGTAACGCCAGAGCCTGTTGACCAATGAGAATGTGGTCAGACGAGGGCATATCGACCAACCAATTGACCAGCTGGCCTGGACACTACAGCATTAGTGGATTTTTTTTTTAAAAGAATTCTCTCTTGAAGCCAAACACACTTTAGTCCAGCTGCAGAATACTAATTCAGTCATTTTAATCAGAGCAGCTTGCAGCTCTGGAAAATTTGTGCAAATTGCTGCAGCACACGTTGTTTCTAGTAGCTGCTCAAGTGCTGCGGTCATACCCCTCTCAGTCACTCTCAGCCAGACTCCATTCAGACTCTCCTGCTGCCCATGCATTTAATTATCAAGTCAGTCAGGCCTTCCTCTGCAAGTCTTCCTCACGCTTGGCAGGCGGCCACTGAGCTGCTGGGCTTTGGGAGGAAGCACAAGACAGAGTTTGATATGTGATACTGAGTCCTGTTAGGAACTTTTGATGGAATTATTTGGTTGGTTGGTATTTGTTGGGCTTGAAGACTCCTAACCTCGGTGTTAATCTGGACATACAGTGCATATGTAGTTTGCTGAAGTTGCCAGAACTCAGGGCTCACCGTCGTATTGCATCCACTGGGTTTCAACGTGGCTGTTTGTTTGAAAGTTAATTTTGTGAATACCTGAAGAGCATGATTTCTGTCTTGGACATGTGTTGCGGTCTTTTTCTTTTCACCCTTCAGGGCCCAAAGTCATTATTTCTGATTAGCTTATAACTCCGGTGCGCACAAATAATCAACAAATACAGGAAGTCCTAAATCCAAGACAATATCTGATGGTATTTTCTATGATGCAAATTCAAAATAAAAACATCAGACAGTGATTACGGCACCTAAACCCGACCTCCTGCTCCTGATTAGGCCAGCTTGCTTCTCATTGAAACTCATCTGTTTCTGTCTGTTCTGATCTCCCCTCGGCCTCAGACTCCCTCGGTGGTCCGTTCCCGTCCACGTCACACCGATGTCACCACAAACCCAAGAGGTGCCTGCCCATCCAGTGCGGCAGCGTCGGCGGGCCTTTTCCCATCAGCCCGCTGCTTTTCCATCCGAGTGCCAAGGGATCCCAGATCGTCATGGACCTCGCCCAGAAGACGGTCAAGAGACAGGCCAGCTTCTGCAACGCCATCACCTTCACCAACAGGCCCATAGCGCTGTACGAGCAAGTTCGCCTCAAGGTATTTTCTGACAGAGCGCCTCAGCTGGACGATTTTAAACCGTCTAAAGTATTGTGCTGTTTATATCTTAAAATGTCGATGTAGACTCAACTACACTGCTTGTGTCAGAAGAAAAACGATGCAGAACCAGTTACTTGCAAGTTCGTCATTCATTTTACAGAACTCCCCACGCCTAAGCGTCTTCTATTTGACCAATACTGTTTTCTTTTAAGCAGTGAATATTGATTGAGTTGTCCATGTGTAAAATCTGGGGTCATAGTTAACAGTTTTTGAGTTCTGGCGCAGCAACAATATTATATAGCTCTTCCAGTTGGAACCCCTGTTGGAATGGTTTCACCTGTCATCCCTTCTTAATGATTTTTCTAGTAATGGCCATAAATGCAAAAAAATTTTTTTTTTTTTTTCTTAACTTTTGCTTTTGCCTTGCTTCACCTTTTTTAAAGCTCCTATAAGTGCCAATCACACGGGGAAAAATCAGCCTAATGGGTGGACAATAAAAGGTTTTATGGTTGGTGGAATGTTGGAGTAGAAAAAAATTTTTTTTGACCAAATTTACACCACCACATAGCTGGTTTGTGTTATTCTATCAAAGCAGGGTTGCACCATTGGAGGCCACATGTACGTATTAATGAGCCTGCAACATTCAAGGACATTAATCCTTGAGTTATGGCACTTAAAATGACTCCATCCCTCTATTAAAGCCTCTGACCACAACCTTTACTTAATAACAAACGTACAGACAGAAAAAAATCTAACAAATATAAAGCTTTTTTTAAAATTTTGGTGAATTGAGGTGGAATGACCCCAGTGGTTCTGTTAAAAACGCCACATTCTGTTCCGCAGATTACTAAAAAGCAGTGCTGCTGGAGCGGGGCTCTGCGTCTGGGCTTCACCTCCAAAGACCCCTCCAGGATAAACCCAGACAACCTGCCCAAGTACGCCTGCCCCGACCTGGTGTCCCAGAGCGGCTTCTGGGCCAAAGCGCTGCCCGAGGAGTTCGCCAACGAGGGCAACGTCATCGCCTTCTGGGTGGACAAGAAAGGCAGAGTGTTTTACCGCATCAACGAGTCCAGTCCCATGCTGTTCTTCAGCGGCGTCCGCACAGCTGAGCCCCTCTGGGCCCTCATTGATGTTTACGGTCTGACCCGCGGAGTGCAGCTGCTCGGTAAGAAGCATATGGGGGGTGATGCTGAATTACCAAACAAGACGCTTATGGGGCCTGAAGGCACCACGTAGATCACAGAGATTAATGTAAAGTAAAATATGAATTAAAATGAAAAAAAGGTTGTTAGAAATAGAAATGGCATGTATTAGGGCATGTTGTGGGCTGGTCGTCTCATGGAAGGGTGCAGCTACTTCTTGGCCACCTCATGATGATGACTGAACTCCTGTAAGTCGCTACATAAGAAAAATTAGCCTCACCTTTGGGCAAATTTGCTTTTACGCTAACTAGATGCTGCCTGTTGTTGCTGCTGCTGGTGGTGGTGGTGTACACACAAGTCATCTAAATCTCTGCACGAATGCGATAGCTGTATTTATAAAAGGTTGACTTGTGCATCTTAAAACCTAGTATTGGGCAAACTGAAGAAAGCTAACAGTTACTCTGCATTAAATTAAGCTACATTGATGAATGTAGTGAGCTAGGCTACACCAACATAACAAAAGCTGGCTACAACAGAAGCTACTGGTTGTAACTGGATTCATTTGCAGCTAGCAGTTAGCTGTCTGGCTGGTGTTTGTAAAATACACGAAAGATGTTACAGTCATACATTACAGTACATAAATGTCCTTGTGTGGCTTTTGTACCTTGTGTTGTTCCTTCAGAAATGCTCGAGTAAATGTAGCATGTGTGGAAACTACAGCTATAGGTGTGGGTTTTGTTTGAACACTGGGTAAATTTACAGTTACCACAGTTTAACTAGTAACTTGTAGTGATGCTGCTACACCATGATGTCGAGACCCCACCTTGTAGAGGAGCCCTGTGTCCAAACCTACTTTGAAGTTTTTGTTCTAGTCACATTTTTTTTCTCATTGTGGGCTCATTTTTAGTGCAGTATAACTTCCTGCACCTCTCATGGAAACAGCACAACCACAAATAGATGTTGAGAGAACTTAAACATGTTTTAAAAATTCTTTGGAATCACTGGAATCACACACAACTTTTTGCTAAGGGTTCACAAGTATTCACAAGTATTATAGGTGGCTCTGCATACTGAAGATATTTCACTGCTAATATCTTTAATTAGTTTCTGTATTTGTCTTCTCGCTGCTCTCTGTAAACACTGCCTGCAGTTCAGACAAAGAGTCCCAGAATGTTTGTCACATGACTGTTGGTAATTTTTTCACAACATTTAAATGCTGCAAATGTTCCATTTTTGGCATATTTTTAATAACACAATATGCTTTTTCTCCCAGTGGAACTGCATGCTACACCTGATTGAAGCTAAAAATCAGATGATTTTTTCCAATTTCTGGCTCAAACAAATTGTGTAATTTTTGCATTTAAAGAAAAAGAAAAAAAGATACGATGCCTTTCAAACCTGCCGTACAGTTTTGGGGTAGTGAGGGTGAATACCTTTAATATTTTAGTTGATACGATGCAAACGTGCTGCATACACTTCAGTAAGTTTTCATTTAATCAAACTTTAGCCAAACTCAGTAGGGATATAAAGTTGGATTGAGCTCCAAGCAGGTTAATCCAGGCCTTGCACCCCAGCTGAAACACATCTGACCACCAAAAACCTTCTTTCAAGTCTTTTATTCAAATATTCTGGCACAATCTTTCATCAAAGCGCCCACATCTGAGATCATTTTTCTTTCTTGTCACTATTTTTTCTCCAGTGGGGTTTTTTTTTTTTTTTTTTTTCAAAGTCAGGAGGTGTTCAGATATTTTTAGATGACCTCTCGGTTCAGTGCTTTCACTTTCCACATTACTGCGGTTGACAAAGCAAGTTTTCTTTCTTTCCTGGTGTTTACAGTAAACAGCTCCTTTGTAGAGGTTACCCGTCCAGTCCTGCTGGACGCTAAAGCCTTCCTAGAAGCAATGGAACAACCGTGAACAAAGCCTGTCTATATCTGACCAATATTTGTTTACCCGAAAGCAGGACAGTAGGGGAGGGGCCACGCTGCTGTGCATTATCAAGGTATGCTAGGTAGCTTAGCATACATACCACGCAGACATAGCACAGGATAGTATGGCCTCGGCTTTGATGTGAGAGAATGTATACGCATTCTTGTTTTCCCTGGAGATTCAGTGCTGTCGTCCCCTCTGCTGCTGTAAAAATAGACCCGGGGTCACATGTCCCATAGATAGCACATTTGATTGTAATTGTGCACTGTGCTGATTGACACCGGTGTCTCCAGGCTGGCAGGGGGGTGCAGGGGAGGATGGTTGGAGTCTTGAGCGCTGAAGGAATACATGTTCTCAGGATTTATAATTTTCAAATCCCGTTGCCACTTCCAGCATCTGTCCTCGCGCATTACTGTTTGCAGAAAGCGACGTCTTTTATTCAGCGACGCAGAAACCGGTTCAAATATCAAAGGGTAGCGCCCCAGCGTTCTCCGAGAGACGCGTGACCCCGCCGAAACACTGCTCCGAGCGCCGCTGTAATCAAAAACCGGGTTTCTCTTTACCCTACTGTCTTTTTTACAGTCAGGCCATATGCGGGGCTTCCCACAGCGCCGGGTCTCCTGTTCCTCGGGGGTCCTACTGAGTGACATCTGCCCCCGCTAACAGGAGCCTGTGCAGAGGGCTGGAACCGAAGGTCGGGATAGAAATGCGGCACATAGACGGGAGGCGGGCCCTTTGTGATGCTGAACGGCCGCTCTGTGTGAGACGATTCTATGCCCGGCGCTCCGTGAACCTTTCCGCTATCCTCAGATAAGCCCCTGGGCGGTCGCATACGAGCCCTTTTTCCTCGCTTTCACTCCTTATTTCATGTGGCATCTGAGGAGCTCTTGTGTTTTTTTTTTCTTTATTTCTTCCTGCCTCACATTCTCAATTAAAGCTTGGGAGGCAACCGACACAGCATCAGAAGCGGTACAAAGACGTTTTCTTGATGAAAATGACTTAAAATTACAGACTTTTTAATTCTGATGCTTTATCACGTTCTCACTGAAAATCTCTAATTCTGTTTCTCTATCCTCTGCGCCTGTGATGACCAAATTTCCCCTCCAGGATCAATAACGTTTATATTCTCTCCATTTGAGTGTTTTCCAGCAGCGAATGAGATTATTCATTGTGCCTCCCTGGAAATACTATAATCCTCGCTACATAAAGATTGAATTAAAATTCTATGGCGGATTAAGTTTCTCGCTCAGACATTTTGCAGAGCTTGTGTATGCACTGTAGCCCCTTTTCATATCGTACATTAGCTCTGCTGGCGTCTCCATCAACCACTCTACCGATCTGCACAACATTTTATCCGTTTCTCCTTCCTCATCATTTTCTGTCACCCATTACCTTCAGCACTGAATCTACTCCACTGGCTTTAAGTGTACCTTTGGAGGTGCTTTTTGTATCGCGGCTCATTTGCTTGATCAAGACGAACAGTTAGTAGACGGCAGGTCTCAGTTTTTTGTCTCTGTTACCTCTGTGCAGGTAATCTGACGCTCCTGAATCACTAGTTTAGAGGAATTTTGCAGATTTTGTCTTTGAGAGTGCTAGAAAAAATGTAATTGCTGCTAGCCAGCTAGCCTCGACCCGTCCCCAGTCTCATGTTCCCGTACCTGCAGGCTGTTCAGGTTGCTGTCCTTCCTCGATGTCATTTCAGCTGCCTCCTCCTGTGAGTAACTTGTGAATGGACTCCTCCATAGTGGGCTACAGCTGGAGACAGTAGTCCTCTGTGAGCTGGAGGTCCACCCCGACCAGAACCTGCAGCAGAAGGAGAACTGGTTCATGTGCTGCTACACCGAGCTCACCATGGAGTCTACCATCACCAACAAGTTAGTCTGAGTTGGTGGATTTAGACTCACTGCAGAGGCAGTTGAAAAACATCGGATGCACATCTCAAAAAGCATGAAAGCTCGCGTCCCCAGAGGCGTTTTTGGACGCCTTATCAGCATGCCACTAGGTGACTCATTGGATGTGGATTGCAGGTCTAAGCTGCCACTGGTCTCGCATTTCAGACCTCTTTCGCTGTCTATGCATTACCAAAATCCACTTCCTTTAACCTCCAGGCAGCAACCTACCACGCTAAGAATGTTTGCAAAGGATTTGGTTTGTACAAGAATGCGACTCTGCTGGTGTTTTTTGGTGAATTAGCCGTTTAAATGACAATGCACGCCTCCCAACACTATTTTAAAACTCCACCCAAGACTATTGTAACTGGTTTAAAGAAATACGAACAACAAACTAAAGCAGTGTTCTGTCCCTCAGAATGGTCCGACTATGCACAACTAGCCACTAGACAATGAAGTAAACACACAGGCGACAGCAAACACCGGCTGCACCTGATTGGACCAACACTTTCACTTCCTGGATTTAAAACCAAACCAAAATGGCGACTTGTTGGAAAACTCTCTCTTATATTACCAAAATAGTTCATTTGAGGTGAGAAACAGAGTTGTGCAGCTGTTAGTTTAAATGTTTTTCTTGAGTTTTCGGTCACAGCGGGCCTCACAGAACGCCCTCGACCTCAATTTTTTGGGCAACGAGGCGCAACATTTCTCAAAATGTAACTCAATGTTAACAGAGAGCATCGCATGGCTGCTTATAAAACCAGAGACGAGGAAGTGTGGACGTGACAGAACCTATTTCATAAAAGATAACAGAGTGCAAACAAGATGCAAAGATTTGTCTGTTGGAGCTTATATCCAGGCAGCAAAATGCACAGCTAATTATCAGAACTTGGTGAGAAGTCTTTGGGCCCTGACAGGCACAATTTAAACCTTTTAACACCTTAAACTTGCACTGCTTGATGTATTTGGCCAGTTGGGGAACAGCAGAAACAAGCTGTAGCTACAACACCGACATACCATCTCAGATAAGAAGCAAAATTATTCTGTAGTTATGTTTGTTCGAACTTTTTGGTCCAGACAAAGGATTCCTCTTCCTGTTAAACACACTTATGTGTAGCTAATTATGTGATGCTGTATTAACTAATTTTCTCCGGCCTCTTGAGGAGCTCACCAAGCAGTAAATATAAAGAAGCTGCTCCAGAAAAC